GAGATTAAAACATTTCACATGTCCCCCTATCACCAATACGGTGACAGATGGAACCGTGATGAAATTAATAAGTTCCAACCGTCCCCTCGTCACCAAAGCTGGGAAAGGTGTGAAAAGGGAAAGGGACTAAATAGGCCTAATATACTAGCTTTCGCCCGCGACCTCGTCCGGGAATAAAAGAGTAATTAACCTATGTGTTCTTCCACACTATCTACACCTATACCAAATTTCATCGAAATCCGTTCAGCAGTTTAAGCTACAAACTCTAACATCCAACCATCTAAACTTTCGCATTTGTAATATTAGTATGAAGTATGATTTAAAAAAATTGTGTTTCCAGTCGGCAGATAAATTGGCAGCAGAAGTAGCTCAGGCGGTATTCGACATGGCGGCCGGCGTCGGACACAGACCTGTGCTCCCTGCATAGACATGACGTTCAAATAAATCAAATTATTACTAATAAAATATAAACAATACAAATATATCATAAATAAATTGACAAATAGAAATTTTTAATCAAAAAGTTCGTTAAAAATCATCTTTAATATTTTTAAAATTGTAATCTTTTTTTATTTTATTGAATATAAAAAATCAATAATAAAATATGTTAATGATTATTAATAATTTTAATAATGTTTCATTTTATTGTGTATTATTTAACGGATTCTTTTGAAGCGTCACCCCGCTCTGTCACCACGTGGAGACAGATGAGAATAAAAAGTTTAATCAGTCTCACCTTTGCCACGAGGGGACGGTTGGAACTTATTTCATAACGGTTAAATCTATCACCTTATTGGTGATAGTGGGACTGAAAGGTGGGACGGATGAAACTTTTGTTCTCACATGGGGACAAGAAGGGTGACGGTTGGGATTAATCCTATTTAACAAAATACTTTTAAATGAAAATTGTAATAATCATAATTGAAATATTCTATGATAATAATAAAATTTTGTCTCAAATGTATCGAAAATTGTGTTCATTTAATAGTTCTGTAGAAATAAAGCATGTTAAAATTATTTTAATCTTCAATAGTAAATATAATTTAAATATGTCACTGCCTTAATGTTACAATTTTTATAGATTTTAGATACTAAAAGTATCCTTAAATCTAAAATTAAAAGAAAACATTTATATATAATAAATTCATTGTGTTTTTTATCTGTATTTGTAATAAATGTTCTATTTCAAATCAATCTAAAATTTGTAAATAAGGAATACATTTTTATTTTCGTTAATCTTTGGCATATTCAAAATAAAAACGCTTAAATTTTTTTTTACTCTTTGACTTTTGTAAGAATTTTTAATTTTCTTTCTAACAATTTTCACTAAATTATATGAATGCGGTGATAGCTCTTTATTACATTTGTTTACAAACATTAGTAAGAAAATTTATAAAACCCCGTCCATTTCAATATCTTTTATCATTGAACAAAATTTTATTAAAACTTGTTACAAATTATTTCGCACCTACAGAAAGAAACATTTAGAAAATCAATTCAAATATACAATAATAAGGCGTCTTTAAAAAATGAAATATTTTAAGTTTATTTGTTAATTTTCATAGTAGATATACATGTATAAGTACAGTCAGCATCATAAATGTGTATTCATTTACAAAATTTATTCACCTTCAGTTTCAATAATAATTATGCATATGTTTATTAATGACTTTAATTTGTAGTCTGAAAAATAGACTAATTTGTATGTTTCAACCATATACAAGTGTCTGTAAATTTATTATATTCATTTTTTTAGCTGACTGTACAAAAGAATATTGCTATCTTTGTCTCATTCGTGCAGAATGAAAGAGACGACAATCTGTTATTTCGGTATTGGATTTTAACGCATTATGCAGCTACTGCTCTTATAAATATGTAAAAAAGGACAAAAACAGCCAAAGACAGTTTTTTATGCTGTTAGCTTTTTATTTAATAACAGATTGTATACTTTTTTATTATCTTTTTCACTAGTCTCCAGAGATTATAAGTACAATGAATAGTGTCTTAAGTAAAATTAGTGGATATTTTAAATCTATGTTTTCAAATATTTTAATAGCTTTCTGGTTACAAAAGAAATGTTCCAAGCAGATTTTTTAAAAACTCTGCTATGGATTTTTAATGAAAAAAACATAGAAAACATCTTGATATCGAAGGGTGAAAGGTTATTTGTTTTAAGCGCCATTAGATTAAATGTTCAGAGAGCCATTTAAAGTTTTCATTTTTAGAGAACAAAACAGAAGCAAATCCTGAAAATAATTTCAATCGAGACTAAGATCGGTTCTATATTAAAATTACCATAATTCTGCATACTTCATTATTTATTTCATATTTCAAATTCTGAAAATATGAGTCAATATCGCGTAAAATGGCGGTTGAAAAAAAATAGGCTTTCACCCGTCAATATCATTTTTTCAGTATGACTAAATATTTGTTTTAATGTAAATAAGTGTGGTTATATTTTTCTTTAATACTTTTTTTCGACAGTTTAGAGCTCAAATGTAGAATAATAATGTCATTTATATATGAAAATTGTAATATATTGTAATGTGAAAATTATTTGAAACAAACCACAAAAGGTAAATTTTAAATTTACGTAATAATATTTTAAAATCTTGCTCAGTTTTTTAACAATTAAGGAAATGTTTGAAAATATAAGAAAATGTTAACTTACAGATACAAAACATTGTTACTTTGAAAATCGAATTACATTTAAAAGGAAAAAAATCCATGTTGTAGCATTTGTAAAAAATTGCATTTATTGGAACAATCTAGATTTTTTATTCTTATTGGAATTTTACGGAATCCTATTGTATGTTTATTTACATTGTAATGTAAAAATGCTCAAAACATTCGATATTATATCAGATATGGTGATAGAAATAAGAGATAATTCTGTCACGTCGACTTTTTATCTTTTTTTTTATCGAAATACAAATTTCTTTAATAAAAATAATAATTGAAAATATTAACTAAGTTTTTCTTCAATCATGATTAACTAACATACAATTTTTTGAGTTAAATTATAATAAAATCCTTTTTTTTTGGTAAGTATAAATGTATGCTATATCGAATAATAAAATATGCTCATATCATCGTTTTTTAATCTTGTTAAAATCGGTAGAGGTTTGATTATTTTTTAAGTTGCAAATATTTTTATAGATTAAAAAAAACACAAATAGTTCATTGCACTATATTAATTATAAACTGTTGGGAAATCAATTCTTAATAATTTGAAAATTATAATACAAAGTGTTACTTAAAGTTTTTTTTTTTCAATTTAATAAGTACATCTATTATAGCTGGTTTATTAAAGATTTTTTTAAAAATTAACTTATGTTTATGTTGTTAAAAAATAATAAAAAAGTACAATAAAAAAATGTAGAAATATAAAAAAGAACAATGTAGATAGAGGTTATGTAAAAGGTGCTGTCTGAAAGCCTTAATAAAATGTTTAAGAAGTATTTAATTTTGTTTAAATGAAACTCATATTTTGCGTGCTATGTTAATATTTTTTTATAATTTACTCTTCACTTGTATTATTTCAATAAAGATATATCTTATCATGACATGTTTTTCTTATTTATCGAAGATAAAATGATAAATGGTCGAACTCATCTCGAGGAATGTTATTTACACTGTTCTTAAACGTGAATCGATATCGAAAAGATAGTTATTACAAGATTAGCTGTTGCTCGCGACTTCGCCCGCATGTGATTAAAAAAAAACCATAGCCTATGTTACTTCCTGATGACGCTTTTTAATGGTGAAAGGATTTTAGAAATCGGTCCATTAGTTGTTGAGTTATTTCTATACATACAAAAATCCAAATCTTTCCCCTTCATACTATTAGTACAGGTAATCTTGGAGATCTCCAATGTCGAAACACTTAATTTAACACATAAAAAATCATACTTGCTCTCTTACAAACTTCAGAAACAATTTTTTTTGAAAATTCCGGCAACTAGCGATTTTTTTTCATCAAAATTATCCTAAAACTCATTTATTCTAAAAGTTTACTAGCGTTTGTAAATGCTAGCGTAGTATGGGAGTAGAGGATGGAGGCATTAACCAGGAAGTGTTAAGACTGAAAGAGGATATGCTTAAGGGAGTGGATTCAGATATGACGGCTGAAAAAATGAATGGGAAAGCAGCACACTGCAGACCCTTCATAGGGACTAGGGGATCTTTTTTGTAAAAAAAACTACAAAAAAAATTCAGTAACAAATTTTTATTAACAATACATGTATACCATGTCCACAAAACAACCTTATACCTAATTATATCTTACATAATAATAGACATCTTTTGTCATATTTTTTTTTACGCCCAAACATTTTTTATTAGCGTGGGTTTGCTGATGACTCCTACTAACATCGACCCCCTATCGTCGAGTCAGTACCATCAGTAAGGGCAGGCGCACAACATTGACTAAACAATCGCACAACTGTTTAGTTTCGCGTTAATTCCTATGAACTTATATGGAGGTGCACAAAACTCGATTTTTGTCACAACTGCTGTGCGATTGTCGACTGTTTCGCAGCCAATTCAACTGTTTAGTTCCACAACTAAAAATCGAGTAGTGTGCACACTTCCATATAAGCTCATAGGAATCAAAGCGAGGCTAACCAGCTGTTTAGTTTAGTTACGGGTATGCGAACACGTGACGTCACAAGTCATCGGCAAACCTGCGCACGAGTGATTATTCCTAACCGTCACTCCGTCCGTCCGTCCATATACCATATACCATATACCATATATCATATACCATATCCGTCCCACCTTTTAGTCTCACTATTACCAATAAGGTGAAAGATGGAACCGTTATGAAATAAAATAACTGCCAACCGTCCCCTCGTCGCAATAGTTGGGACGAATGAAACTTTTTATTCTCACGTGGGCACAGAGCGGGGTGACGGTTGGGAATAATCCCGCACGAATCATATTAATAATTATTGCCATCTCTTACTCTCTTTAACAAAACCGAGACTTCAATATATATCAATACGCTTTTTTATATTAGTATAAGGTGACAAACGGCCACAGAAATTAGCTAAAACAGGGAAGTGACCGCTAAACTTATTACGAATTTATAGATTCGTTGTCTACCTTTACCCAAAAGAGAAAATGACGCAAAAAGGGGGACATAACATATGCGTCCCCTTCTCTGTCACTGCACATTCCATAATAAGAGATCAACAATAAATTCAAATTAATCCTTAAGCAAACAATAAATAAATTGTGATTATTTGGTGAATGTCTTGTGAATTTTTACATGTAATTACAATAAAGGAATGTTAAACATTTTAAAAGTACAGTGAACTTAAAAAAACATTAAAATCTAATATTTTAAAAATACTATTTTGTTAAAACAAAATGTAGATAAAACTGGATACAAAATATGGAGTATTTTTTGTAGTAAGTGAAAAATATTAAACTAATATAGTGCTGAAAAAATTATTTTATAAAAAGAGGTTTTATTAGATTTATTTATTTTAAAAAAGCAAACAATTCTACTATTATCAGTGGTAGAGTATGTAACAATAACTATTGCATATAATTAACACCTATTTAAAGAATGAATTAATTTTAACAGGAGAAAACTTTTTGTATATTAAATCCTTTGTGTTAATTAACTGAGAAATAAGTGTAATTAATTGGTGACAAGGGTTATCCTTGACTGACATACTCTGACCAAAAAGGTGACTTTTAATATAATATAGAAGAGTCACCTTAAACTAATAAGTATGCATTTGCTTATAACAAGGTAATTCTTAACAGATGGATCAAAGGTCTTGTAATTTTTCTGTCCAAAATCACCCTGTATAAGCGGATGAATCGAGAAATGTAAATGTACCGATTTGAAAATAATACTTTCTGCCTGCCCCTTGGGGTTGCAGGCGTGAAATATGCTCTGTATTTTATAAAATAAAGTTTATTATGAAGATTAAATATAAATAGATAGTTTTTAACATAATGCAGGGTCATATTAGTATAGTTTGTTTACAAAGTGCCTATTAACAATAATATCTTAAGATTTTACATTTTTAATACTGTTAATATCAAATTCTGTTAATACCTACTGAAAACTAAATTAAATTGTGATGCTAAAATGACATTAAATTTTTTTTTATAACCTTTGTTTTTTTTTACCTATTTTTTATTTTAAATTATTATTAGTTGGTAGATTAGGCCTTTATAAGTCATATTCCTAGAACTTATCTTAGTATACATTATTTTGTATACAGTAATTTTGTGTATAAATTACAAGTTTGTAATATCCAAATAAATGACAAAATTTTTTAAACCTATCTCAGGTATAAAAAATGAGTACATTTTCTTTATATCATGTGAAAATAAAATGTTTCAAACCACTGACCCACCAGTTACAAAATAACAGGACCAAAAAAAATATTTTGCAAAAAATTACAAAAAAGTTTTTAATATGTCAAACTCACAAGTTCCTTAAGCAAGCTTAGCATAGATATATCATAAATGTGGCAAGTAAAATTGACCACATTCACTACTCTTTTATTTGATTTAATGAATATTATAAATATACTATTTCATATAAATATTTATATAATAAACATAGATATATTTTGTACTATTAGTTTTACAAAATTGACATTTATTATAAATATTTTTCAAATATAATTCAACATTAGATTCCATTCCTAAAAAAGTTACAAAAACGCATTATCTTTATTTTTGTAACTGTTTTTAGAAAACCCTTACTATGGACATTTAGGGCCTATCCCACCACTGGCTGATAGAGGCTCAGATAGCTTAAAAATGATGTCACAGTCAGATAAGGGAACAAAATCCGATATTTCCATCACATATTTTACATGTTCGATTGTTATCAGACATTAACAATTTGGTGGGACAGGCCCTAAATATTTTATAAGATATATTTACCTAAGCCTCTACCATTTTCACTATCCGCCAATACTAAGCTTATATATAACATTTTTGGTCCATTAACTTGAACATTAGGTAACAATGTCTCAGAAAACAAGCAAAATGGTAATAACCATTTTTTTTAATCAAAATAGATAAAAAAATTTCAACACATATTTCCATTTGCACAATGTGTAAAAAACTTTTTGTGTAAATGTGTGTATGTAAGTTTGTGTCTGTCTTTGTTGACCTACTTCCTAAAAGAAGAAAGTATGTAATATGTCTGTATATTTTTTCTGTATATGTAAATTCTATTGTGATATCCTACAGCCGGATTATTCCCAACCGTCGCCCCTCTCTGCCACACATAATAATAAAATGTTTCTCCTGTCCCACCTTTTAGTCCTACTAACACCAATAAGGTAACAGATAGAACTGTTATGAAATAAAATAAGTTCCAACTGTCCCCTCATTACCTAAAGGTGAGATGGATGAACCTTTTCATTCTCATCTCTCCTCATGTAGGGACAGAGCAGAGTGACGGTTGGGAATAATCCCTACAGCCTCAACAAATGAACCAATTTTAATGAATGAGGTGTCAATTGATTAATAGTCTTTCCTAGAGTGTCACAAAGTATATAACACATACACAAAATATCTGCAGTGGAAGTAAGAGTTAATAAAAAAACTGGGTCGAAATCTCACATGCCAAAACTATTCTTTTTCAGTTTGAATCTTTTTGATGTTTGTGTATATTCATCTTTTATATGTATTCAGTCGGTATTGCTTTTTTTAATTCTTCGCAGTTGATTATAGTATCTACTTTTATTTTAAAGTAAAATTTAAAAGAACAGAACATTACAAGTTTTGCTTTCAACTTGAGATGTTTGAGAAATCCTTGCGATTTAGCAGTTTTGGTTATCTTCATTTTTAAATAAATTGTCATATGGAACAAAACAATGAGCATTTTTAATTAAAAACACTGAAAAATTATTAGCAATAGATTTAAACACCAGTACTAACTAGATACAAGTTACTGTGGTAACATAGATATATGTGTCTTAACTTCAATATATAAAAATAACTTGTTTTAATAATTATTAATAATTCTTACCCAAGATATGGACCTAAGTATGGTACTTGATCACAATAAAAACAATCTGGCACTTTTGTTTCTTGTAATTCAACTAAATTGGTGCTTATTTCATTAGCTACATAATAATATCTACATCTTCTAGGTCCTATGTCTTCTATAAGTGTGTCATAAGGTGGGGAAAGTATATCAAAAAATGCAGCTGGCATTTCCAATGCTTCAATTTCATGATAATTTGATATTGTTGGTGTTAGAACACAAGTTTCACTATTCGCAGCACATATTGAGTCTTGTGATATTGTCGCAAATAATCTTCTACGTTTATGAATCCCGTGCGCGATACGAGCGGCTTCGTGTTTAGCACGAATTGCGAAATCAATTTCATTAACAGCCTCTTTGAGCGGAAATTCCGTAAAACTTCTTATACGTACAGCACCAGAGATCACTTTCAGTAGCCCGTGCATATGTGGATGGTCATGCATTGGCATTTTAAAACCCGGCTTTAAAACAAATATACTCATATTTACAAGACTATTTTGAAACACTTCCACATATGTACACGGCGCCTTGTTCGGTCTCCGCCAAGTCCCCGGATCACTTAGAGTATTATCGTATCCCAAATCTTCCGCTTTTAAATTATTCATCATAGATTTTAACTTAAGTAAGTTTGTCTTAAGATCGCTTTTGTACTTGTCATCGAAGGTATGCAATGCCTGTCGGTATGTTGATACAATCGGCGGAACGTTAACGATTTCCATTGCGGACTTCGCTTCATCTCTTATATCCATATGAAATCTGACTGCACTAATACACGAAAATTTTGTTCTTGTAAAATAAGTGGAAAATATTCTGCACGATAACAAAGCACAACTGTCAGCAAACGTCATTTTTACTAAAAGTGACATTCAATTCGGATACTCTTACGAATTTGCGTTTATTTATTACTTCAACTAAAGTTACGGTATTTTTTTAATTCTAAATAACATAAAAACAATATGAAACTCAATATAATTATGAATTAGATATACAAATAAAATCGGTTGTTTTAGAATTGCGGGTTAAAAAAAAATTAAAGTCAAAAACAGAGCCATCTGTTGTCTATGAAATGTATATTTTATGAAATTGTTCAGTTTTGAAGAATTTAAGTGTTTTCAGCGAAGAGAATCGATATTTTAAAACTTTAGGTCCGTTTTCAAAGTTTCACTGAAAGGTTTTTATAATTGTTTATTACATATTATGCCTATTTATTTGACCAAATTTATTGTCTTTTAAGTCTAATATATGGCATGCAAGAAGTTCTCGCAAGAGGAAAAATCAAAGAGCATATCAGAATGTTCTAACTTTAAAAATAAATTGATGTATACCGAAATTAAATTGCCGTCATTTCAAAACACAGTGGAAATTCCTTAATTTAATTGCCTAATTTCAAACAGAAAATACTATCTATCTTATTTTCTCTGAACAAAAAGTAAAATAGTTACATATACATAAAGTTTTTGTAAAAGCGCTCACGGCAAACAAATAAACAAATAAACTATTACAAACTACAATGTACAAAAATATATGTCGGTACTCTATAGCTACTACATATGCGTTAAACACCACATAAAACCTCGATATCCTGTTAAAACGACCTCTTACCTATGCCATTGTAGAAAACTAAAACAATTGAGAACCGATAAAAAGCCATAAAAACGTTGTACGGGCAGTAACAACCGAGGTCACATTTTATGTGTGGTCGATGTAAATAATGACGGGAGGTTCGTCTGTTTGTACCACTTAAATAAATAAGTCGCTCAACGTTACGAGATTGGGTTTTATTTGGTTCCGTACGGCCTGCGTTTTATCGATTTCGATTTAAACTGTTTATTCGATTAACTGGCAACACTAAACACAGATAAATTCATCAGTGTGCGCCAAACACTACACATGTGTAAATATATATCGCAATAGTTTCTAGAATAATACATATAGTAAAGATGTTTTAATAAAAAGAAAACAGTAGCATTTTTAACAAAGTATCCAATCTTATCTAACTTCGCTAGATCAGCGTTTTTAATTCAGTTTTCTGTACTTCGTCAGCCGACTATGAATTTAAATTTCGCGGTGAGATTAAACAGATTTAGTGCGGGTAGCCTGATATGTTTTTATTCTTCCACACAAGAGGGTAGGTCTCAATGACTCCCTGGTTGGATGTTGCAATGGGGCAATAGGTCGTTTGGCGTCCTTGAAGGTTATTGAAAATGTTTGGATTTCGAACATCACAGAAGAATAATCGGGCGTGTCAGTGTTAGTAAGCACTTTTAAATATGGTTACGCATTCGATAACGACGCGGTCTATAGGAAAGTGTTTGAGGGCATGGTGCATATAAGTGCGTCGGCAATACAGTATAGATGGCACCTATAGATTTGACAGAAGCGGTTGGTCATCGAGTTGGTAAGTGTCATTTCATATCTGTTTAGAATATGCTCCCTGTCTATACGGCCTGTCTAATTAAATTAAAACAAACAATTCTAATTCACATGTAAAACAATGAAATGATATAAAAAGTTTTCAAGGAATTCATTCGAGAGCTACCGTGCTCTGGAGATCGTCAGGTGATCGTGGGTGGTCTACTCAGAACTGTGCTTACAGTTAAGTCGAAATAACTAAGTTAGTAGTTACTATATAATGTTCCAAAAATTAAAACTTTTTAAATAACCAAAAGCATTGAACAGCAGCTAATTGGAACACTCTTTGGAACGAAAATTAATGTACAGCAATATAGCGATACCAAGTAAAATAGTAATATTTTTAATAAAATCAGGACACCAATTTATATAAAAGTAATTTTTCTTTTAATTTTAATGGCGCACATTTTGACATCTGTCGATAATTTCCCGCCATTTCTAAATCCAATTCGCGGGATCTCCGTCACGCGTGGGCAACACATTAAAATCAAATAATTGTGCCAAAGTTATCGTTTATATAAATTAGTTTATTTTAGTATCGGACATTTTTAATTATTAATGTAGGCGTAGATATTACTGTGAGTTTAAACCTATAATAAATATTTTGATGCTTTAATTTTTTTAAACTAAGCTGTTATTTTTAATAAACTACGCCTACAAAATACGTTTGCGTTCAACGGTGTTTATTCTTTACTCTGTTTTATTTGAATAGATACAGAAATAACATTAATAGGCGAGTAACTCTTAAATCGCAGAAGTATTTTTACATTTATTGTCTGAAATCTAGTATTAACTAAAAGCCAAATAACATTCTAAATTTCCTTTGAATCGCAGTTAGAAGTACACAATTGAACTATCTCGTGCCATCATGTCGGTGCTAAAACAATATGGAGGCATGTTTATTGTTCTTACACGGAAACAGTAGCACATATTTAGTGGAAATAACTCGCTCTGGTTTTCTATTCGAGGGATGTCGAATCGAAAAGTGATGCCTTTTTTTTTGTGTATCGGTAAAAAAAAACCGCCGTTATTATGATTATTAGCTTTCATATTGCGTATAGTATGTTGTCTTGTGTATCTTTTTAAAATTACCGATAATTTTATCTTATTAAAAAATCGTTTGTCGAAAGGTACTGTCAAGTTGACAAATAATTTTATTTTGTATTTCGCCGCTTTATTTTTACATCATTCAAATTAATTTTTAACATAGAAAATTTTGACATTTCACATAACCTTATCCAAGGTTTCTTATAGGTTATAGTCTCAAAAACGATTTTGTAAGTAATATTCTTGTAGGTTAACTATGGAAAAATAATTACAACACTATTCACGAGAACAACACTAGAACGGCCATTACCAGGACTACAAAGCGCAAATGATACGAAAATCGTGTATGAATGTAAATTTAAATAAACATAAACAAATCTAACGGAGCGGTTTACGTATTGTCTATTTGTAATGCTCCTGGAAAAAGTTGCCGGATGGTTAGCTATGAGAGCGCATTATCTTTACTATTTACATTTTTTTATTTTGTTACGTCATTCATACAGCCAGTTTTTAAATTGTTTAAAATACTTTTTTTTTTCCTAATGTCTTTTAAGTACATTGTTAAAATTAAAATATAGTTTGAATAATAACACAATTTATACGAAATGGTTTAATTCTTATGTACTCCAAATTTTATGGCACAATGTAACAAAATCTATGCATCCTAATCACTGACCTCTAAAAATGGATAGGCTATAAACTGTGATATTTTGTGTTAATGTTATTTTCGCCATTTTGGCGCTGATGGTTGGTCATTTGTGGATGTTAGCAATAGCTGTTAGTTTCCAAGTAATGGTCTATGTATCTATGGTTTTCCCTATGTATTTATCGTTAGCATTAAATTAATTTATTTATTTAAAAACTTAAAATTGGGCTATCACTATTGGAATCAACATTCACAGTAATAGACGCGGAAGTTTGTCAATTCCGATCGGTAGTGGTAACATAGCGCCTCATGCTTGTGACAGACGGACAGACAGACGCGCCGGAGACGCTCACAAAGGATTGGGACGTTTCCGCCGCGTCCAAACGCTACCTCTGTTTATCTTTGACGGATTTACTTCGATCTACGTACTACTAAGAACACTACATTACGCTTTTAATGCGGACACAGATTAATTACTTGTAGAGAGTTTAATATGTTATTAGTAATATATCTGTCATTAGCGGACTTATCAACATTCTTGTTAGAGTTTGATAAGCATATGCGAATGTCACCTATTTGGCATACCAAATAATCGACAATCGCACAACTGTTGTGCGATTGTCGATTGTCTTTTAACCTCCATATAAGCTCATGGGAATCAAAGCGAGACTAAACAGTTGTGGCATAGGTTAGTCAAAAGTGTGTGCGCTCTAGGAGAAGATTTATTGTCTAAAATCACAAATACAGATAAAACAGAGGTATTATTATTTACCTTCAAATACAATAAACGTTTCTCAAAACGCATTTAACGATATGAAAAACAAGAACGCATCATGTATTAAAAAAAAATCTTAAAGACCTATTAAAAGCAACCCAACTCTTTTCGTGCCAGAGTTTTAACGTAAACATTGTCTTAGTCGAAGCGACAAAAAAGTTTTAAAATAAAATTAATAGACGACGTCACGTGTGCATGTTCTAGGAAACTTGTTAATTATCTGTTGTAAACTAATAAAACGTAATATTATACTGGAAGCATGTTTAAATATAATGGCCGAGCTGGCTGCTTCTACCGAATTTCTGTTATATTAACAAAATAAGATATCGACCTAAATCTTTTACTGTAAAGATTATTAAACAAGAGAACATAGTATTTTTTCTGTCATATTTTAAATTATTCTTTTATTTACTTCTACAAAACCTTATCTAAAAGTATTTAAAATGAGATTACGAGAAAGTTCATCGTATTAGTACCAATATTATGTGTCCTAATGAGTTTTTTAATGTAAGATTTGATCTTTAAATAAATTGTACGTATTCATTCATTTGATTTCATTGAGGCACATTTACATTTCAGTAGCGTAAACTTTTCATATCTTTCCCCTACCTGTTTACTGTGCTCGGAAGTATTGAAGGAGCGTTTAGTCGACATTGAATACTTGTACAAGTAGATTAAATATTGTCAATTATATTAAATAATTGCCTTTTTTGCTTTTAATTATTTTTCCCCATTGGAGAATATACGTGGCAACGTTTCTACGTAAGACGTTGAATATCAAAACGGTTAGTGCTGACTACACTTGATGGAAGAATGTACGCCATTTTCCATTATGTATGAGTATTGAGGAATTATAACATAATAGTGGTGTACCCCCTGACAGGTGGGTGTTTCGAAGGTTTTTTACAGATAGGTGTCATGAGACGTATGTTGTTTTCAGTTTATTTTTATTTTAAGAAC